GCTGTCCTCTTAGTTTGCTTTTGTTTTAGGTGTGGTTCTTAATAACTGTGAGTTTGCTGTCCTTTCACTGTTCATCTTTTTTATCTTCTTTTTCTTAGGTAAGTCCCTTTAACATTTCATATAATAAGGGCTTGGTGATGATGAACTCCTTGAATTTGGTCTTATCTGAGAAGCACTTTATCTGTCCTTCCATTCTAAATGAAAGTTTTGCTGGGTAGAGCAATCTTGGTTGTAGATCTTTGGTTTTCATGACTTGGAATACCTCTTTCCAGCCCCTTCTTGCCTGTAAGGTCTCTTTTGAGAAATCAGCTGACAGTCTGATGGGAACTCCTTTGTAGGTGACTGTCCCCTTAGCTCTTGCTGCTTCTAGGATTCTCTCCTTCATTTTAATCTTGGCTAATGTAATGATGATGTGCCTTGGTGTGTTCCTTCTTGAGTCCAACTTCTTTGGGACTCTCTGAGCTTCCTGGATTTCTCGGAAGTCTATTTCCTTTGCCATCTTGGGGAAATTCTCCTTTATTATTTGTTCAAATAATTTTTCAACTGGTGGTTGTGCCTTTCCCCCTTCTGGTACCCCTATAATTCGGATGTTGGAATGTTTAAAGATGTCCTTGAGGTTCCTAAGCTTCTCCTCATTTTTCTGAATTCTTATTTCTTCATTCCTTTCTGTTTGATCATTTTTTTCTTCTGTCTGGTCCTCTCCCTTGATTTGAGTCCCAATTTTCTTTCCATTACTATTGGTATCTTTTGTATCAGCATTCATTTCAATTAATTCAGCCTCCATATGTTTCTCTAATTTGTGACTAAAATCAACCAGTTCTGTAAGGATCCTTATAACCAGTGTTTTGAACTGTGCATCTGAAAGACTGGCTATTTCTTCATCACTTAGGTCTATCGGTTCTGGGGCTCTGAGTTGTCCTAGAGCCATTTTTGGTCTATTCGTGCTGTTAAGTGAGCGGAGCGAAGCCTTAGTTGTTTACCAGGACGGGGCGACCCAGGTCGCTGGTTTGTGACGCTGTGTGTGGGGGCGGGGTCAGAGAGGGAGCAATGGCATTCCTCTCCGCTAGCCCAGCGCATCCAGTCACTCACACGCCTCGGGCTTGTGCGAGCCTGCTGCACCGCGCGGGTTTCCCTTCTCACTGGTTTCTCCGCACGTAAATGCGCGCGACCGACCCACCGCGCCTCTTCCCTGTGCGCTCCGGCAGCCAGCTCGCTGGCGATCAGGGCCCTTGGTTGCCTGCGCGCACCGCGCACCGCCCCGGGAATTTTTTCTTGCTAACCTGCTCCGCTGCTGGCCTCGCTCCTCGTACCAGTCCAGCCGAGTATCTAGTTGTCCTTTGGACTCCGTATTGTCGATTTTCCGTGTGGCTTGGTTGTGACTGCTGTTAAAAATAGTTGTTCTTAGATTTGGTTGTGCACAGAGGTGAGGTGGATCCTCCACCTACTTCTCCATCTTGGCGGAAGTCCCCATGTCTTCATGTTAATAAGTACACTTACAGTGTAGGGCTTCTGTGTTATTTTGTATTTGTTATCTGTTTCAGTGAGGGATGTGGTTGACTATAAATAACAATACAGAACAGTTGTTCAATAACATAAAACTTTCATATTTATATTATATTTTATTTAATAATTATAGAACTTTATTCTTTGATGTTTTTTATTTCTTTCAAATGATGAGAAATCTGGAGATAACTGCCAGATGGATAGTATTGAACACCAACGGATAGTATTGGTTTATCTGCTAAACAAGATCATCAGGGGCCATTCCCTTCTATCTTCCTGCTTACTCATCCTTAGTGTGTGACTTTCTTCCTCATGGTTGCAAAGTCTTTCAGCAACTCTGGGCATCACTTCCACATTCCAGGGAGGAAGACAAAGGTGAGATAAAAGAGTAAAGGGTGATGGGTTTTCTCCTAAGGAGTGTTTACCTTTTGTTTGGAGAAAGAAACCCTTTCACTGGAACTTCTTTCTACATCTACTTTGTCAAAAATGGAGATATCTGATCACTTCTAGATCAGTCATTTGCCAATGAGAATCAGATTCCATGACAGGTTTAGGCCAATGTGATTTGTATTTTGAGGCTGGGGTAGGAACTTGCCTCTCCTGAAATTGAGGGTTCTCTGTTACTCCCTGAAAAAATTGGGGTTTCCTGTAAGGGAGGGAGGTGGGCTGGAATAGATGGTAGGTAGGTAATTGACAGTGTCTGCTGTAATAGCTACACATTTTTGTTTTCTTTTTTCTTTTACTTAGTTTTGCAGGATTGGTAAGCCTCTTATTTACATTCTCCCAGTATTAATTTGGAAGTTTTATAATTCTAGTAGTGGTTTTCTTCATGTTTCTATCAGTCATAATTAAACCAGTGTCCTCTATTATTATGTTGCTTTTAACATCTAAAAATAACAAGGTTCTTCTATATTAGTCAAGGGAATTAAAGCTGCCTTCTGCAATGGATAAACACTGATGTTTCAATGGGTTAATACAATGGAGGTCTATTTCTCAATACATCACAGTTTAAGGTGGATTGGGTATCTCCTCTGTGATTTGCTTTGCTTTCTTCTTGCAATCCCACCATCTTGGAGTAATTTATTTCCAGCTGAGTGGATGAGTGACATAATGTGGACAACACACACCAACTTCAAAGAGCCTCAGTCTGAAAGTGGCACAAATCACTTCCCCTGACATTTCACAGAGTAAAACTCAGTCACATGGCCCCATGGAGCTGAAGGGAAGCCCAGAAAAGTAGTTATCTGCTGAGTTCAGGAAGAGGAAATGGGGTTCTGGACATAGCAAGTCACTTAAAAATTGTCATTCTGGTCACTCACACATTGTTTTCTTTTCCTCCATGTAAATACATTTACTACCTCCTTAAGGTTGGCACCCTGAAGTCACATCCAGTCACTGCACCCAGCCCAAAGTCTGCAAGAGTTCTGTGTTCATTTGTATAAGGTCTGGATGTGACTAAGACATGTCACTTAAACACCCTCCTCCCTCACCTTTAAGACACAGTGTACAGTGATAAAGTAGGGTCACAATATCCATTGTGGAGAAGGGAGAATGTGAGCCCCACTTAGTTGCTAGTCTGTGGCATTCTGTAAGTCCTATAGGTCAGGCTCTGTGAAGTTCCCCTGCCCTGGCAGTGAAAAGACAGCCTTGAGTGGATGTTGGCTGCACCCTTGAGGAGGCTCCTCCTTGCTCATTATTCCCCTTGGCTTCATCCGAAGTGAGTGTTGAGGATCATGCTCTTATTGGACCAGCATAGTCTTTGAAACCAGCCTCCTGGCCATTGAAAGTGGTGTTTAAGTCCTGAACAATCTAAGGCTTTTAAGTCCAGACTCAAAAATTTAGGAGGCTTCTGATCTGTTTGCTTCAATGTCCTAGTACAATATCTACAGTTTTTCTAGACATGTTTCACAAATTGTATGTACCTCTTTTCCTTTTTACCTCTATTTCTCTCCCTTTCAAATGAAGAGCACCTGCCTTAGGCTCTTTGTAAAAATAAGTGCAAGAGATTGCACTCTTAATGTGTTTGTGTTTGTGTTAGCTTGGCTCCTCTATAGAGCAGAGATAAGGCTGAGATTAAACACACAAAGGTTTTACTAAGAAAGTACCTGTGAGATGAGAAAGGACAGGGTGCTGTAGGAGGTGGGGAGAGCCATCACATTGCAGTGCAAGTCTGACTTTGAGTGATGGGGACAGGAACTGTCAGGTTGGATGGAGGTGTTCTAGGCAGACATTTAATCCAAGGAAGGTTTGTCAAGGCCTCAGGGAAGTTGCCCATCAGAGGAGTGTGGTGTCTCCCAGGAATGAGCCTGCCATGCTCATTCAAAGGCTGGTAGCTGCCTCTGTGAAGCATGGCCTTGGGCAAACACAAGAGCACAGGGACTGGAGTGCTTAGTCAATTATGATTCCTGTAGCTAGATATCTGGAGCATATTCTCATGGCAGCCACAGTGCTTTGTACCCAGGTCACTTAATTCCCCTTATACGTCTTATGGGGCTTTGTTTTACAGAACCTTTAAAAATTCTATCTCTTGCAATTTGGGCCCTAGAAGGAGGCGGTTTTCCCAGTCTTACAAAGTCCCAAATTTTTGTATTCTCTTTCTTTTCATTTCTCCTTGAAAAGTACTCAATTCTTTCTTGAACTAATTTCTTTCTCTAAACACCTTGCCAAACACAACCACTAGCAACTAACACACACTACCAATGTTCTATTTTCCAGTCTCTTTCCGTTGAGTGGCAGGTTCAGAGGGCATGAGGGGTCTGCCTTTTATAGTGTCTGACAATTTTACCAAGTGTTTTCCTCCTACATAACATGGATCTCCAGCCATGTAGCCTACTAAACATCACTCAACACCCAACTGCTAAGGCAGTGACCCATAGCATATGTCTTTGTTTCAGCAGTACCCCACTTTTGGGATAGATTTCCATTTTAGTCATGGTAATCAATAGAATCTATTGCAATAGGAAAACTGAAAAACTCAGTGGCTTAATACAACACAGATATAGTTTCAGCTCATGTTACAGGTAATTGTTGGTCAGAGACTCAGGGGCCTAGCTACTTCATGTTGCAACTCCATGATCTCCAATTCCTTATTTTTAGCAAGTAGACAGAAGGGGTGGGAGAAAGGGAGGAAGAAAAGAACGGAGAGGAGAGAGGAGAGAAAAGAAGGCTCACTGGCTCCTAACTGCCTTGGTCCAAAAGAGACACAAATCACTTTCTTCAGAGAGTGCCGCACTCTCTGCTGAAGATGTTAGGGGCACTTGGTCTCAGACCAAGTTCTAGATTTAGACACCTGCTTCCGCAGGCTGACTTGGCTGCTCCGTTGCTCCCTATAGAGAGTGGGAGGGTGAGATAGTTATGGACCTGCACTTAGGCCAAAATCTTTCTGGGATCCCCTTTGCTGATGACAGCATATTGCAGACTGGTTGTATACCATCAACCAATTAGAACTCAGACCTATTTCTTCTTCCTTTCTTGTTCCTCCTTATGTTGTGAAGCAGCAAGTGACAAGCACATCCAATGGCTCCTGGGGGCAGATGGCGAGGTCTGGGTCTGGATCATGGGAGAAGGCCCTGGTGACAAGCCCTATGAAGAGATCTCTGAGGAGCTGATTGCAGAGAGGGCACGGCTGCAGGCACAGAGGGAGGCCGAGGAGCTCTGGTGAGAGGTGCCAATGGGTGTTGGGTGGGGCCTGAACTCAGAGGCTTGGGGTGGGTTCCAGATAAGGGTGATAGGTTGTGGGTAGGAGGAAAGAGGTACTAGGCAGCTGACTGCCTGTTTTGAACTAAGATTAGGTGACCAAACCATTAAAGTCTTACATCAGATAGACCTTGTGGTTTCAAATCTTGGATACACCAAATAGAAATGAGCTAACTGGGGGCTTGGTTTTCACATCTATGGTGTGGGTATAATAACACTTTGTATTTGGATGTGGTTTGGATTCATCGAAATGATGCATATACCTGCTTTTTCTTTTTATCTCACTAGGACAGTAGAGCAGTTTGGATTTGCTTTTGTTATATACTTGTTTCTCTTTCATGGACATTTGAGCCCCTAGTGAGATTTGGAGTCAAACTTATTTCATAAACAACTTTTGACATCTTTTCACCAAGCTTGGATGCCAACATTTCCCCTCACCCCAATTTTTAGTGACAGAGTTTTAACTGTAAAATTGTTAATAACAATCCAACACCTGCCACATATGATAACTACAGTGAGCACTTAGGCAATACAGATATTCTTTGATTTATGATGCAGTTATGTCCTGATATACCCATCATAAATTGAAAATATCATAAGTTGAAAATGCATTCATTACACCTAATCCACTGAACATCACAGCCTCACCTAGCTTACTTTAAATGTGCTCAGAACACTTACATTAACACACAGCTGGGCAAAATCATCTAGCACAATGATGACACTGTAGAGTATCATCTACAGTGATACTGTTGTTTGCCCTCGTGGTGTGGGAGCTGTGGCTCTCTGTCACTGCTCAGCCTCACAAGAGACTATCTTATAGTATGCAATAGCCTGGGAAAAGAGCAAAATTCAAAATTCAAGGTACAATTTCTACTGTATGTATATTCCTTTCACACCATTGTAAAGCTGAAAAATCATAGTCAAACTACCATAAGTTGGGGACCTTCAGGACATGTTTTGTAAACTGCTTTATTTACACCACGGTAAATTGATTAATATATATTTACAACATTATTTAAGATTACTGCCCTGACTGATGTAGCTTAGTGGGTTGGGATATCATCCCACAAACTGAAAGGTCATGGGTTCAATTCACAGTCAGGGCACAAGCCTTAGTTGTAGGCCAGGTCCCCAGTTGGGGCCCTGCAAGAGAGGTAATTGATCAATATTTTTCTGGTTCATCAATATTTCTCTCCCTCTTTTTCTACCTCCCTTCCCATCTAAAAAATAAATGAAGTCTTTAAAAAATTACTATACAGTGTTTTCATTACATGGGAAACCCAATGTACTGGTTCTGTTGACGGACATTTAGGTCATTTGCCATTTTTTATTCTATAAAAATCCTCTGATGAACAGCTTTTACCTATGCTTTTATAAACTTGAATGGGAGATGGTATTTTGGATTCTTTTATTCCCCTGGCTTCTAGAACAATTTTGCTGATTTATACCCCTACACAAGAGAGTGCCTATTTCTCCCTGCTTTTGCCAACATCAAGCTTTGTTGACTGGAGACATTCGTCATTCTAATAGAATAACCAATACTGCCCAAGGTGGAGGGATTAAGAAGTACAAATTGGTTGTTACAGTAAAGTCATGGAGATGTAAAGTACAGCATAGAGAACATAGTCAATAATATTCAAATAACTATGTGTGGTGTCACATATAATTATGTGGTGTGAGATTTACTGGGATGATCACTTAGTAGGTTATGTAATGTCTTATGATTGGGGCATGCCCGTGAAACTAATATTAAAAAAAAAAGTACTGCCCATAGTTTTTACTTGAACTTCTGGTGTTATGCAGGCCTTTAGTTTCCACATGAGCTTATACTTATTGGTGTTCTCTTGGAAGGAGACAGAAGGAGGCAGAGATCACCAACAAGTTCCGGGATGCTCTGGCCAATGAGAAAGCCCGAATCCTGGCAGAGAGGTGGAAAGTGGAGATGGAGGACCGGAAGGCTGCCAAAGTCCTGGAGGAGCGCATTCATGAGGAATTTAAGGTGAACCAGTGCATGGGGCATCTGTGTGTGGCCACCTGCTTTAGCTCCCAGGCCACAGGTTTGGCCATTGATTATTACTGAGTGCTTTATGAGAACAGAAATCTGTTATGTTTGAGCAGGAAGGAACTTGACTTATCATTTGAGCCAGTCCACTTCTCACTGTAAAGCTGAGAAAACTGAGGGTCAGACAGGGAAGAGACTTGCCAAGACCACGTGTAGTTAGGGATAGAGCCAGCATCAGAACTCAGGCCTTCTGCATCCCAAACCAAGATTCCTAAAATGAGGCCCGGAAAAAACAATGTTTGTAGTCAGGTCAGCCTAGGATGCAGTTCTCACTCTACTGCTTACTGCTGTGTGATCTTGGGAAGTTTGCTGAACTTCTCTGAGTCTTTACTTTGTTGTTTGTAATATTAAGATAGTCACAACTCCCAACTTGAGGTTTTTGGAGGGTTCAAGGAAATGAAAAACATACATTTCCTGGCCCTGGATATGGAGCTGTTGGTAACCTTGCATGCCTATTCATTCTGGGAGAGTTTGGAGCTGGTGAAGGAGATTTATAGAAGTTTAGGTAGCCTTAAAGATTTTATTTCTGCTCCCTATTTTGAGATTTTGTTTTCACTACAGTAATAATACATTTTGGGCGGGGGGCAGGGTAGAGTACTCAGAAATGCATATAAGCAAAAAGAAGAAAATAATAATCATTCTGAATCCCCCAAATTATATCATTTTGTAAAATGTAGATCAGTGATTTTCAACACTTGTGCCCCAAGAATTTTTAAGACATGCAACACCTGACTATTTAGTCAGGTACACTGACCTCTTTTCCCTTAGACTGTTAGGTAAAAAATGACAACACCCAAAACAATAGCTGTAAAGTGTGAATGAATAAAAATTATACCTATTTTCTGTAAGATTGGCAAGAAATATATTTTTTGGTGTGCCACACAATTTTATTAATTAGTTTATTGTGCCCATGAGATGAAAAGTTTAAAAATCATTTGTGTGGATTAATGGCATTTGCCCATTATAATTATGTTATAACCCCCTTTTCATCATAATGATTATGTAGTGAGGACATTGGCCCTTTAAGATCAGTTATATTGCAAATATTTTCCTTAGTGTTGTGTTTTTGTTCTTAATTTTGATTATAGAGTTTGTAGAGTACAGAAGATTAATCTTTGGCTTTATGCATGTGTCCTTTATACATATTCCTTGATGACACTTCTCCCATTCCCTCCCATTATCCCCTTGCACCTCCTCTCTGGTTATTGTTAGTTTGTTCTTTATTTCAATGTGTCTGGTTATATTTTGCTTGCTTGTTTGTTTTGTTGATTAGGTTCCACTTGTAGGCGAGGTCATATAGTATTTGTCTTTTACCATGTGGCTTATTTCACTAAGCATAATGTTCTCCAGATCCATCCATGCTGTCCTGAAGGGTAGGAGCTCCTTTCTTTCTGCTGTGCAGTATTCCTTTGTGTAAATGTACCATAGATTTTGATCCACTAATTTATTGTTGGGCACTTAGGTTTCTTCCAACACTTGACTATTGTAAATTGTGCTGCTATGAACATTGGGGTGCATAGGTTCTTTTGAATTGGTGTTTCAGGATTCTTAGGGTATAATCTCAGCAGTGGAATTGTTGGGTCAAGAGGCACTTTCATTTTTAATTTTTTGAGGAAATTCCATACTATTTTCCACAATGGCTGTATGAGTCTTCATACTCACCAACAATGTACTAGGGTTCCCTGTTCTTCACAGCCTCACCAGTACTTGTTTGTTGATTGGTTTATGATGGCCATTCTGACCAATGAGAAGTGGTATCTTATTGTGGTTTTAATTTCCATCTCTGTGATGGCTAGTGATGCTGAGCATCTTTTCACATGTCTCTTGTTCCTTTGTATGTCCTCGTTGGAGAAGTGTCTGTTTAAGTCTTTTGCCCATTTTTTAATTGGATTATTTGACTTCTTGAGGTGGAGTTGGGTGAGTTCTTTATATATTTTAGAGATCAAACCCTTCTCTGTGGTAACAATTGCAAATATATATGTTCCCATATGGTTTGTTCCCTATTCATTTTGCTGATATTTTCTTCAGCTGTGCAGAAGCTTTTTATTTCGATGAAGTCCCATTTGCTTATTCTTTCCTTTGTGTCCCTTGCTTTAAGGGACATATCAGTGAACATATTGCTGTGTGGAATATCTGAAATTTTCTTGCCTATATTTTCTTTTAGGACTTTTATGGTTTCATGACCTATATTTAAATCTATTATCCACCTTGAATTTATTTTTTTTGTAAGTTGGTGATTGGATTCATTTTTTTCGCATGTAGCTATCCAGATTTCCCAACACCATTTGTTGAAAAGGCTATTTTTACTCCATTTTATGCTTCCCCCTTTGTCAAATATTAATTGACCATAGAGACTTAGGTTTATTTCTTGGTTCTCTGTTCTGTTCCATTGGTCTATGTGTCTATGTTCTTATGCCATTGCCAGGCTGTTTTGATTACAGTGGTCTTGTAATACAGTTTGATAACAGGTATTGTGATCCCTCCTACTTTGTTCCTCTTTTTCAAAATTGCAGCAGCTATTCGGGTTTGTTTGTGGTTCCATATCAATTTCTGAAGGGTTTGTTTTATGTCTGTGAAATATGTCATTGGTTGTTAATAAGAATTGCATTGAATCTTTAAATTGCTTTGGGTAGTATGAACATTTTGATGATGTTAGTTCTTCCAATCCACAAGCATGGTACATGTTTCCATTTGTTTGTGTCTTCCTCAATTTCTTTCTTTAGTGTTGTTTAGTTTTCTGAGTACAGGTTTTTTTTTTTACCTCCTTGGTTAGGTTTATTCCTAGGTACTCTATATTCTTGTTGCTATATCAAATGGTATTTTTTCCTGATTTCTGTTTCTGATATTTCATTGTTGGTGTATAAAAATGCCTTCAATTCTTGAATATTGACTTTGTATCCCACTGTTTTTCCAAATTCACTTATTAGTCAAGTAGTTTTTTGATGGAGTCTATAGGACTTTCTATGTATATTATCATGTCATCTGCAAACAATGACAGTTTTGCTTCCTTCTTTCCAATTTGGATGCCTTTTATTTCTTTTTCTTGTTTACTTGCTATAGTTAGGACTTCCAATATTATGTTGAATATGAGTGGTGAAAGTGAATAACTTTGTCTTTTTCCAGATCTTAGGGGGAAAGCTGTAAGTTTTTGCCCATTGAGTACAATGTTGGCTGTAGGTTTCTCACATATGGCTTTTATTATGGTGAGGTATGCTCCCACTACTCCCACTTTGCTAAGTGTTTTTATTATAAGTGGGTGCTGTATCTTATCAAATGCTTTTTTCTATTGATATGATCGTGTGATTTTTGTCTTCCTGTTGTTTATGTGATATATTATGTTTATTGATTTGCAAATATTGTACCATCCTTGCATCCCTGGGATCAATCCCACTTGATCATGGTGTATAGTTTCTTTTTATATATTGCTGGATGCAGTTTACCAATATTTTGTTGAGGATTCTATCATCCATGTTCATCAGTGATATTGGCCTGTAGTTTTCTTCCTTTGTTGTGTCTTTATCTAATTTTTGGATTAGGATGATGTTGGCTTCATAAAAGGAGTTTGGGAGTCTTCCTTCTTCTAGGGTAATTTACAATAGTCTGTGAAAGATAGGTGTTAGCTCTTCATTAAATGGTTTGTAAAATTCTCCTGTGAAACTGTCTGGTCCAGGGCATTTGTGTGGTGGGAGTGTTTTGATTACTGCTTTGCTTTTGCCAGCTGTTATTGGTCTGGTAAGGCTTTCTGTTTATTCTTGATTCAGTTTCACAAGATTATATTTTTCTAGAAATTTGTCCATTTCACCTAGGTTTTCAAATTTCTTGGCGTATAGTTCTTTGGAGTGATATTTTTTTACAATCCTTTGTATTTCTGTGGTATCAGTTGTAATCTTTCCTCTTTCATTTCTGGTTTGTTTATTTAGGTCCTCTCTGTTATTTTCTTGATGAGTCTGCTTAAAGGCTTGTCAATTTTGTTGTTCTTTTCAAAGCACCAGCTCCTGGATTTATTGATACTTAGAATTGTACTTTTAATCTCTATGTCATTTAATTCCACTCTGATCTTGGTTATTTCTTCCTTCTCCTTGCTGTGAGTTTTGTTTGTCATTGTTCCTTGAGTTCTTGTAGGTGTAGGGTTAGGTTGTTTATTTGAAATGTTTCTATCTTCTTTAGGTAGGCCCGTATTGCTATGAACTTCCCTCTCAGGACTGCTTTTGCTGTGTCCCATATGTTTTGGACTGTTGTGAGTTCCTTTTTATTTGTTTCTAGAAACTTTTTGATTTTTTCCTTGATCTCATTCTTAACTCATTCATTGTTTAATAGCATGCTATTCAACCTCCATGAATTTGAGTGTTTTTGAGTTTTTTCCTTGAGGTTGTTTTCTAGTTTCAGGCCTTTGTTGTCTGAGAAAATGCTTGATATAATTATAATTTTCTTGAGTTTGTTGAGGCTTGTTTTGTGTCCTACCATGTGGGATATCTTTGAAAATGTTCCATGTGCATTTGAAAAGAATTTGTATTTTACTTATTTGAAATGAAAAGTTCCATAGATATTAGTTAAGTCCATTTGATCTAGGGCATTGTTCGATGCTGCAATATCCTTAGTGATATTTTGTTTGGACGATCTATTCATTTTTGACAGTACAGTGTTAAAACTTCCTAGTATAAGTGTGTTGCTGTCTATATCTTTCTTGATGTTATCCAAGATTTTCCTTATATATTTTAGTGCTTCTATATGGGGCATATATGTTTAATATTTGTGTCTTCCTGATGCATCTTACCTTGAGTATTATGAAGTGACCTTTTGGGTCTCTTTTTATGGCTCTTTTTTTGAAGTCTATTTTGTCTGATATGAGTATTGCTACCCTGGCTTTTTCTCCTTTCTGTTTGCTTGTAATATTTGTTTCCAGCCCTTCACTTTCAGTCTGTGTAGGTCTTTTGTTC